CTTTTTACTGGTTTTCTGATGTAGACCTAACAAAATATACCTGGGCAAAAAAAAAAAAAAAAAAAATCTTGGCTGCCGGAGAATGGGTATCACCTGCGTATCAGTGATTGTAAGATTGGAGGGGTGAGGATCAGATCTCTCATCAGAATACTATGTGTGGGAGGCTTGTTGAAAGCTTTTTATGTTTGGCAGAAGGACGCATGAGCTTTAAAAAAAGTTTAACAAATACTCAATGGACTCCCCCACCTTAAATTTGCATACAAAATGTTATGCAAATATGTATTTTTCGTCACCTCAGTCAAGGGGTCCAGGCTCTAAAAAGATGAAGAACTACTGATACAGACCAGAGAAGGTACGCTGAAGATCCAGCTCAGGGAATGTAACAAAACTCAGCAGGAAGAAGTGCAGTCAAAGAAACAAGAAAACAGGGCTTGATGTGTCAGGGGCATTGTGGGTACTTAAGGGTGCTAGAATCAATGAATTAATGGTAGCTACATTCTAACGATTATACTAGTTAATGTCAGTTTTATAAAACAAGTGTTTTTGTATTTGTTGTAAGACTTGCACAAAAGGAGCTGTCATTTTGCCCTATATATTACTTTGTTACATAAGTAAAGGAATTACTGGGTATGAACTTAATGTAGCCGATGGGGAAGGGGCCTAATTTAAAATCATCTGGGAGCTAGCATATGCACAGGGCTGAACGCCTGAGCTACCACCGTGGGAACAGGGGAGCTACTGAAGCTGGCTGGAGATAACCATCTGTTTAACAGGACTGGGCATGCACAGAGAACCAGAGCACCAATCGAAACAAAACTGGGAGTCCAGGACATGGAAACACTCAGGACGATATGAATGTGAGTCAGGAACAAATGCCAAGGTCCAGGATATTCAGAAAATTCAGAAAAGACAGCAAAGAACCTGCTATTATGAAAAGCCACGTACTAAACACAGCCCATAAAGGGGCACCAGGAAAACTTTTTGAACAAAATTTCATGTAGAAATTAAACTCGATTCCTCCACTGCAAGTTGGCCTGGGAGCCTTTGCCACCCATAGTGACAACAGGATCTAAGTGTGATAAGGCTCGACAGTCCTCGAGGGCCTGTGGAAGTTCGTGGCGGGTATTTTTGGTTATCACCATGTTGGGAGAAGGGGCTATGCTACTGGCGTTAGGATAAGGTAAGTCACGCATCCTGCAGTGTTTTACAGTAAGTTTCACAAAATGCCCAGCTGTTTCAGAGGTCACTATAGAGAAGCTTAAATGTGTCTTCATCTTATAGAATAACATACTCTGCACAATGTCTACTTAATACATTCTAGTCCTTCACAAACAATGAAGCTAGTTACAAATATGACAGGATATTGGAGATTCATTTTAATAGATTTAGAAAGAAACACGAAATTAACAAAGGTGCATGAAATTTAGAGATTTACTGGATTTCATTAACAAAAGCTATTTTGAAACTCCTTAGTATTTCTATCATATAACTTCATATTTTTGGCGCAATGGGAAACGTTATGAATTCCTCTTTTTGGGGTGATGCTATTCTCAGAGATGTGCCACACAACTCCCCTATAGCCTGTTATATTCTCCTTTTCCAATCCATCCTTTATCATTGCCTGTTATTAAAGGATAGGGTCTCCAAGATATGTGTGTGTGTGTGTGTGTGTGTGTGTGTGTGTGTTTTAAGTATGAGAGGCTGAATTAATGACTCATTTGGTGAAATTCCAAGGTAGAAAATGTTTTCTGTGACACTTTGTCATCAGCTGTACCCTATTCCACAACATAACAGGAAATTGTTTAAAAAGAGCCCAGCTCATTTGAGAGAATATCACATGCTCCTATTTTTGTACCCAAATTTCTCACACCTGTAAACTTCCACATTTTATTTATCTTAAGTGTATAATCTGTCTTTTCAGGCGTCCCCCCTTCTACTACAGGTATTTCCCCCTTTTGCTTATCATAAACAAAGCAGGCTAGCCTGTTATTTTAATGCAGCTTTTTAAAGGATTTTATTTATTTGTTTAGAGAGAGGGGAAGGGAGGAAGAAAGAGGGAGAGAAACATTGAAATGCAAGAGACATCAATGGGTTGCCTCTCGCCTGCCCCCAACTGGGGCCCTGACCGGGAATCTAACTGGCAACCTGTTGGTTTGCAGGCCAGTGCTCAATCCACTGAGTCACACCAGTCAGGGCATTTAATGTGGTTTCTTAAAACATAGTACTTATCTGTATCTCTCCTCCTTTATATCACCACACTTTTTGTACTGTGTAACTTACATTTATTATTAGTAGCTTATCTGCAAAGAGGGAGAAAGAAAAAAAATGATGAAGAGCTTCTGAGTAGGGAAAGGTTTTGGTCACAGGGGAAATGCAATTAAGAGTTGACGGTGGATGTGTACAAGGACAATAAAAGGAAATTGGGAGCATGAATTTCTATGGGAGATGGTCACCTCGGTTACACAACTCTCCATGACAATGTGGGCTGCTCAGAAACAAAAAACAAAAATGCCGGGCCTGTGGCTGATGATAGGCATGGCAGCCCTGCTCACGGTACCCCTCTGCTCACAGCCCTCCGAAGGCTTTCCATTCCCCAGCGTGACCTTCAGGAGCCTCCACTATCTGGCACTGCCTATTTCTTCAGCCTCTTCTTGTACTTTTCCCTTGGCTTTCAAAGTCCCATCTCCCTGGCCAACTTCTTCCATCTTCATGGCTTCTGCATATTCCATTCCTTCCATGTGTCATCCTCTATTCCCAACCCCACCCTTTGCTTCTGCTTATGAATCACTTCCTTGGGAAGCCTTTCCTGACCGGGCAGAACTATCACTATAGTTTCTCCACATATGCTTTATTTGTCCTTCATGAGACCTACCAACATTATATGTTTACTTGTATGAATATATCCTTTTCATACATGGAAATAGCTTCATGGAGGCAGGTACTTGGCCTGTTTTGTTGATTGATAAATTCCCAGCACCTAGCCAAGTACCTAGCACTAGCAGGAACATTCATTCACTCATTCAATAAATGGGCGAGTTTTTTGTTTCATTTTTAACTACATCTCCATTTTCTCACCTGTTAATGGGGATAATGATAATAATTACCAATCTCAAAATTGCCATGCAGATTAAAAGAGACAATGCATGCTTAGCATGGTGCCTGGCATTTAGTAAGGGCTGTGAAATGTAGCCACACAGACTTGTCCCACAACCCAGCAATCCCACTTCCAGGTATTGACCCAAGTGGAATGAAAATTTATGCACACAAAAACCTGCACATGAGTGTTTATAGCAGCTTTATTCATCATTGCTCAAAACGGGAAACAACCCTAATATGCTTCAACCAGGGAATGAGTAAGCAAGTTGTGGCATATCCATATAGTGGAATACCGCTCAGCAAGAAGAAATGAACGACCGATACATGCAATAGCATGGATGAAACGCAAATGCATTATGCCAAGTGAAAGATGCCAGACTCAAAAGATGGCGCATATATATGTTTCCATTTATATGACATTCTGGAAAAGTCAAACTGTAGGGACAGAAATCAGGCCAGTGGTTGCCAGTGAGGCCTGAGAAAACTGGAGGAGGGGAGGATGGAACTGTCCTGGGACTTGACAATGATGGTGGTTACAGGGCTATACACAGCTATCAAGACCACATCATTATAAACTAAATGGGTAAACTGTACTCTATGTAAGTTCTTTCTTAATGTAAAAAATGAAAAAATCTAAGACAGGTAGATATAGTTACCTTTTCCTTTTTTTAAAAAGGAATTTCCTCTTTATAAAAGTACTACAGGCTCACGGTAGACATTTTGGGAAAATGTACAAAGAACAGGCATTCTATCACCTGCAGGAAAGTACTATTTCTTTGCTATCATTTTTCTAGGCACAGAATACACACACACATAAACTGGGGCCATGCTATACATTTTGCTTTCTGAAATATTTTATGCATATTTTTCAACATCATTAAATAATTTTTAAAAGCTATGATTTTATGAATCAATAATATTCTATTGTATTGCTGATTTATATTTTAAGCCTCCCTTTATTGTTAGAAATTATGTTGTTTCCATCTTTACTGTAACTTTGATAAAATAAAATTAAAAAAAAAAAAGGTTCAGAGGGGCCAGGGACTCTTCCATTATCGAGTTTCACGTTTAACTGGTAAAACAGCTCTACCGTTCGTTGGCTGCAATTTCCTCGTTGTTCTAAATGTCTGGAGGAAAAGTGGTTCCACAGGGTGATCTGGTGTCTTCTTCTTTGTGGTGCAAAAGAAATAGACACCCTAATATTACCTGTCTTACGAGCTTAAATTTGCATAGTGCTTTTTATATTTAACCCTCACCATAGCCTTGCAGGCTAAGCAGGTGGAGTAATTTGTTCAAGATTACACTGCTTATCAGTCGTGAAATGGGACTTCGACGTCAGGTTGAGCCTCAGAAAGTAAACATTTCCCCAGCGCCGGGCTGGATCTCCCTCTCCCCACCCCTACCCCAAGGAGGAAGCTGCGGACACCTCCAGAAATCTCTGCCTAGAGGCTTGACACCGGGGAACGTAATTCCGAAGGTGGACGCTTTCTCATCCTACATATTGTCTTTGGCAACGTCGCCACTTACCAGCTGGTATCAGTTCTCCCCCAATGGCAGGGGGACAGCTACTGCCACTGACCAAGGGGGCCCTGGGAGCGGAAGGATCGCCGGCTGCGAGGCGCGGCCCGTGAGGGTTGCAGTCGGTCGGTCGCAACGGTGCTGGGGGCTCACTCTCACGGGGGTCCTGCAGGGACGGCCAGGCCCTCCCCAATGTCAGGGCCCTTCGGCGAGGTGACGAGGGTCCCCACCACCTTAAGGAGAGCGGAGGAGTCAGGTAGCGGACGCCGACTACGGGGCTGTCCCGGAAGACTCCTGGGACGTGACAGAAATTACCGCGTCCGGACAAGCAGAGGTCAGTCCTCCGCTATCCCAGAGTGCCCCGGATCCCGGAAGTGCCTGGCTCCCGGAAGCTCCCGGCTGGCTGACAGAGCCCAGGCTTCCCTGATCGCTGCAACCGGGGAGTTGCTGTTCTGCGGCTTGGGTGACTTCAAGAGGCCCGACTCGGGATCGGGGTGTGCGCCCGCCGGGAGCTGCGCGGCGGGATGATGGAGGAAGAGGAACTGGAGTTCGTGGAGGAGCTGGAAGCCGTGCTGCAGCTCACGCCCGACGTGCAGCTCGCCATAGAGCAGGTGAGCGTTCCGCCCCCCTGAGGGGAGGAGAGTGCGGAGGACCGGGTAGCTCGGGGGGTGTGACCTGGGGTGGAGCGGGGTAGAAGCGGTCTTTGGACTGAGGGGTGGTCTTTGGACGCACAGAAGGGAAAGGAAAGGTTTGGGAGAAGGTGGTGATGGGAAGGGGTTTCGGAATCTAGGGAAGGGAGGAAGCCTCTACTAAGGCCTTGATCGTCTTTGGAGGGTGGGGCATCCTAGTGCGTTTGGGCAAAGAAGCTGTACTTCCCGAAAGGATGAACCTGGAAGATGGGACGTCAGGGGTTGCAACCTCAGATTTCGGGGTGGGGGGCGGGGGCGGGGGGGCGCCGGTTTAGAGCTGCTCACTCACTTCCCAGGCTGGTGTGCCGCTACTCGCGATTCTCAGTCCAGCTGCTGGTGCGTGACGCCCCACTGAGGGGAGGGCGTAACTTGAATTTCCAAAGCGAATCGCGGAGCAGAGGGGAAAAGATTGGAGCTGCATCCCTTCACCGTACTCCAGTGGTTGAGAATTTCTGCTGCTGACCAGTTTGGGTTGGGTTGAAGAATATTCCCAGGAAGTCGCCCTCCCCTGCAGGGGCTCTTTAGTTGACTAAATTCCCTTTTCCAGTTTATTGAGTTTTTTGAAAGAGTAATGCTATTAGCAATAGAGGTTTAGACCAGCGGTTTTCAGCTGGTGTGCCGCAAGAGTTTTTAAAACATGCACTACCTGACTTGCCAGAGGCACTGACCGCTTTTCCCTTAGATTTTCAAATAAAAAAAAATGACATCAGCCAACACAATAACCATCCGGTGTGAATAAGTCAAAATTACACCTTTTTTAAAAATCAGATTGACAAACTATATATTTTTTGGTGTGCCGCAGAATTTTAGTAAAATTAGTTCATGTGTGCCATGAGATGGAAAAGGTTGAAAATCGATGTAGACCCTTGTAGAGAGTATTCCTCCTTATAAAGGGAGACGATCTCTCTTCAAAGAATTGGCAGGCATACGATTTTAGAAAAGGGGTTATGCCACATTTAAAGTAAAGCATTATACTATTACTTAATGTTACTTATATAATATATATACTAATAGCTAATATTTATTAAACATTAACACTTACTATGGATCTGCCACTGTACCAAGCCATTTATTTGTATTGTCCCATTTATAGATTTTTGGATGTGTGTTTTTCTAGGAGTGGTTGGATTACCCATACAGAGCTCATTTGGCACATCCTGAGAATGCCAGCCCACTGGGCGAAGGTTTTCTCTCAGGCAACACTGCTCCCCTCTCACCTCCGTTGGCTGGAAAAAGACATTTGCTCTTTGGACCCAGTGGGCTCTAGTAGAAGAAACAAATGATACAGTCAGTATTTGACAAGAATTTTAGGAGAGCATGTTTTTTACTACGAAGACTGAGTTCTAGCACAGATTTATCTAATAAGTATACCAGAAAAGAATTTGCTAACCAGAAACAACACTGAGCTGTTGAAATTCACCACCCAGGGTATCTCTTGACTACTTTTATAATCCACTGTGTTCAAGTTGCATTTTTTTTTTAAGGTTTTATTTATTTTCAGAGAAGGGGAAGAGAGGGAGAAAGAGAGTGAGAGAAACATCAATGTGTGGTTGCCCCTCATGTGCCCCCTACTGGGGGACCTGGCCTGCAACCCAGGCATGTCCCCTGACTGGGAATTGAACCAATGATCCTTTGGTTTGCAGGCCAGCACTCAATCCACTGAGCGACACCAGCCAGGGCTCAAGTTGCAGTTTTTCAAGGGAGTTAGCTATGTTTCTCAGGAGACAGCATTCCTTTTTCTGTTAGAGTGGACAGTTCCTAACTGCCAGCTCTTCATTTCCTGGCCCTGTCTGAAACATAAGAATTGCTTCAGCGCATAGTGAATTCTGTTGCTGAGACCTCATTGAAACATAGTGCATACATCTCTTATCAAGACTTTATTAAAACAACCATGTCACCAGCTGGTTTAATCTGATTTGTACAATGCCCATTTATTTTTCCTTGTCGTTGGGATTTTGTTGACTACTGTGGAACTCTTCACTGTTGCACATTCTGTTGGTTGCACCAAGATCCAAGATGTTAAAATTACAGATATTGGTGAAAATTAAAGATTTACTTTAACAGATATTTTATTGAGCATCTGTTGTATGTCAAGTCTTATAAATATAATTTACCACCCAGAAGGGAGGAAAGAAAAAATATGTGAAACAAGACAGGAAGATGACAGTTATTTCTAATCTATTTTTATGTAGGTATTTCCAAGCCAGGATCCTCTAGATCGAGCAGATTTCAATGCTGTGGAGTATATCAATACCCTGTTCCCCACAGAGCAAGTAAGTAATTTCAATGGCTTCTGGCTCTTCCTGAAGGTTTTGATTCATGTGTTATACTATATAATCCAAGGGGCCTTAATAGACAAGGAGTGATTCAAACCAAACTTCATTGTAACCATTTGGGGGGTGGAGTCACTAATACCAAATACTGTTATTGTGTTAGAGTGAAATTCTTTGTAGAGTGAGCATATTATTAGAAATTGTGCCCTTAAATATTTTCCACACATCTGATTTTGGCTGGGCTAAATCTTAAGCCTGTTCCCCCCAAAGTATTACACATATATCCTAGCACCAATCTTAAATACATTAGGTTTTAGTACTGTTTGCTATATAAATAAAGAATGAAAATAGAGGTCTTAATATTTTCTTCTCGCACCACGATGGGTATTATTGCAGATCCCTTGGAGATGCACACCCCTCCTCTGGAGACTGTTCCTATGGGCAGTGGGTGTTTACTGAAGGACTGTTGATGGCAATGACTGGATCAGATTCACATTTTACAAATTCCATCTAGCAGCAATGTGGAGGGTGAACTGGGCGAGGCAGAGCTGGAGGCAGGAGGACCAGCTAGCAGGCTGCCAAGGCAGATCACGGAAGAGGGACGATGAAAGCCTGAACAGAGGCTGGAATGGAGAGAACAACATCTGAGAGCCATTTAGGAGGCAGAAGACACAGAATTCTGTGGTTGAAGGGAGGTAGAGCCTAAAATTCTCTCATTAACTCAGCATAAATTACCTCCTCTGCCTACCTCTGTAAGAAATCTGCGGCTACAGAGGTGAACGCTCCTTCCCAATATAGAGCTTCCAGTCTACCTTAATAGATAATGATTACACCTTTAACAGACTATAAGCAAATTACTATGACTTTACCATGACTTGTTTGTATAACTATTAATTATTTGTTACTTGCTCTTGGAAGAGTTCTAACCTCTAGTAAAACTATAATAATCGTTTACATTTATTGGGTGCTTACTATGTACCTGGCAACACAGTACACACCTAACAAATGATAAATTCTCCACTGTGAACATGCCTGTTTCATGATGAGGATAATGGGGCACAGCGATGAGGATCGCTCAGCTGCAGTGTGTGTGCCCTGCCCCGAAGGAAACGTGCTGAATCCTGGGACAGCAGGGCACCCGGGCCTCACCTGGTCTGAGGGATCCCGAAAGGAGTCCGTGAGGAAATGACAGTGAGCTGTGCGCTGTCAGCCAAAGGAAGGGTTTTGAACTTTGATTTCTAGTCTGGCAGACTGAGTGGATGCCGGCACCTTTGCCCTATATTGGGAGCAAAGAGGAAAAACAGGTTTCAGTGGTAAGTAGGCGATGAGTAGGGTGTAAAGGTGAGCTCAGTTTGAATGTATTTGGTCCATCCAGGTAGAAATAAGCAGTGGGTAGTATTTGAATCTGAAGCCTCATAACCCCCATGACTGTTACTATCTTGGCATAAATTCTTCTCAACTTTTTCTAAGGACATGTTTTTTAAAATAAAGTTGGAATGCATGGCATCCTGTTATGTGATTGTCCTTTATGAGATTTCGCAGATAGCCTTTAGAGCTCATTCTTTTCTACGAAAAAGGAATTCTGGGAATTAGCTGGACATAGACATTTGAGAACAACTGATATAATGATAGCTTTAACCATGAAAATATTTCATACACTCCACCCTATCAAGATTGTCGACCCACCAAAACAAAAGTAAGTGTTAGATTTGAAAATTATGTGGGAAACCACTCGATATTCTCACATCTTACTGATAGGTTTCTGTGTGTATTTGTTTCTAAACCAATTTGGTTGTTCCACAGATTCAGTTATATGCCCTGTCTTATTATGCCCCCATGTGCATGATGATGCGTAGTGAAGTTTCTTAGGTCACCCAGAAAATTTATGACCCAGAGTTACCTTTATTTCCCCAATCCCAGATTTACACTTAGCAGTTCACCTTCCAACCCAGATTCCCATGGATCTTAAGGAAAGGTAATAGAAACTGGTGGTATGATTTATAATTTCTTTCCGTTACTGCTGTGTCTTGGGCAAAACCCATCCATATACCTCATTGACTTGCAGTAAATACTTGTGAATTATGAGTTTAGAGTATTTAAAATAGATGTCAATATATCAAGAACAAATTTAGTGCCACTCCAAGGAGGAGGGTATGTATGTGTTCCTATTGAATGGCAACTGCTGCATGTGTGTGGCTGGCTGGAGGCAGGACTGAGTGTGGGGCAGATCCTTGGATGTTCATGACTCACCAGGTCCACGTGTGGGGAACCCCAGTTTCTGTGTTTACAGGGCTCCTGGGTGGTTCTGAAATGTAGATGGGTTTATTGTCTCCTAGTAGAAAACTGAAGAAAAGCATGTATCATGTGTTTACTAGAGGTTTGATTAAGGAAACATGAAATTTTAAAAAATAAACACTGATATAATTAAGAACTTTGAAAAAGAGTCAGGGAATTTTTATACAGAATTTTTAATGATCCCTCCAAATGCTCTGCATCTGCATTTTTAAGAGAAAAAAAATAAGATGCCAAACTACTTATCACATCAGTTTAATTTTTTTTAAAAAATTATTTATTTTTAGACAGAGAGAGAGAGATAGGGAGAGAAACACCAATGCCTGGTTACCTCTTGTGCGCCCCCTACTGGGGACCTGGCCAGCAACCCAAGTATGTGCCCCCTCTGGTTCACAGGTCAGTATTCAGTCCACTGAGCCACACCAGCCAGGGCTCAGTTTACATTTTTTTAAAGCCATGTAGTATTTGCATAGAAAGAATTGAAGAAGGCAATATACCAAAATGCTAATGGTGACTATGTTCTGCTGGGGATGAGGGTGATTTTATATATTTTCTGTAATCAGCAAGGATTGCCATTAGAAATAGAAAATACTTTTCAATAATTAAGACATTTTTAAATGATAGAATGAACATTGTACAACCACATTACAACAGAACTAGATGAGTGATCCTCAAAGAGGAGATGTATCACCTCCGCCCAGGGTAGCCAATCTGGATTCCTATGGGGCGTTTTCCCAACTGCCCGAGAGGCCTCAACCCCAATGAGAATCACTGCCATGGCGAGGCACTGAGCTGATAGCAGGGAGTGTGTCATACTCCTCAGGTTTATTGGGGTTCAGAAAAACTAGGTCAAGAACCACTGTATTAGAAGTAGCATGGTAGAGTGAAAAAGAGCAGAGACCCAGGAGTCTGACAGACCTCAGCCAATTACAGCATCCATGAACTTGGACCAAGCATCTGTCCTTTCAGAGCTTATGTCCCATTCTTCACACTGAAGAGGAAAAGAGCATGCTTTGTATGGTTGAGAGGATTAAGAGAAATCATTTTTGTAAAATGTCTAGAAGAGTATCACAGAACAGATCCACATTACAAGTGAGCACCATTTCCCTTTTGCTTCCCCAGTAGAAAATCTGGAAGATAACCCTGGTCAGGGAGCTCAGGTCTCAGAGCTTTGTCCTGATACGTCAAGGTTGCAGGTTCGATCCCTGGTCAGAGCATGTACAAGAAGCAACTAATAAATGGATAAATAAGTGGAACAACAAATCAACGTTTCTCTCTCTCTCTTGCCCCACCCTCCCCTGTTTCTCTAAAAGCAATAAATAAATTTAAAAAACCTGGAAGATAATGAGCAAGTGGTCACCCATGGGTCCACCTAACATTCAGTCAAGCATTATAATTTTAGATTATTTTTTTCTGTTTTTTAAAAATCTGTATTCGTGGGATACTTGATATTTTTAAGTGTTTTCCCTTAATTAGCCTGCTATCATAAGTAACATTTGTTGTTTCAGAGCCACCCTACCCAGTGTCTTTGGTGGTGGCAAAAAGGCCATTGATTGTATGTGGCCTAATTTATTTAATTTTTCTGTTGATGACTATTTAGATCATTCCCAGGTTTTTTATTTTTTAAATGGAGTTGAACACCTGAAGGCATAATATACATAGAATTATTCTTTTTAGAAAAATTGTTATGGTGCAAGCAAGACCTACGTGTCTGAGGAGCATTAAATTTAAGGAATGGTTACGTACCACCAAAAATCAATATTTACCAATGTGGAATGACCTTCAAGTTATATTATTAAGTGAAAAAAGCATGGTGCAGGACAATGTGCATTTATGTAAAGAAGGGGATATAAGTTATGGATGTACTTTAAATACACAGACATCTTGAGAATGTGCGAATGAAATCTGACCAAAGCATTGCCCCTGGAGAGGAGACCTGGGAGGTGGCCTGGGGAGAGGAAACCTTGCTTTTCACTATCTGCCCTTTTCTATTTGAATTTTTGGTCCTGTACATGTTTTACTGGTTTAAAATAGATTACAGCCCTGGCCGGCTAGCTCAGTTGGTGAGAGCATTGTCCTGATATATCAAGGTTATGGGTTTAATACCCGGTCAGGCACATTCAGGGAGCAACCAACCAATGGATGCATAAATAAGTGGAACAACAAAATGATGTTTTTTTCTCTCTCCACCCCCTGTTGCTTTCTCCCTCTTTCCCTTACTCTCCCTCCCTCTCTCTCTTAAAATCAATAGATAAAATAGATTACAATGTTTAATTTTGATATAATTTCTCAGTTTTAGAAAAGATACAAGAATAGTTCAAAGGATTCATGGCTACCCTTCATCCTAATTCCCCAACTGTTAACATTTTTTAAATAGTTTTTTTAAAGTACCTTTTTTCTTTTTTTTAAAGAAATGGGTTCTGGTAGAGATATGCCTGTTTTGCATATGAGGAAATAGAAACTCAGAGAGGTTAGATGGCTTGCCCTCTAGATATACATCAAATTTGTTAGTGGCAGAGATTTGCCAAACCCAGGTCCTCTGACAACTCAGGTCCTGTTTCACAGTGGTGTTTTGAGATGACAGACTTGGCAGAGGATTCCTCAATTAAAATACCTTCTCTTTTCTGAGATTTAGTTTTACCTCAGTCTGTTCTTGGATTTCTGAAAATTCTGAGTAACCACGGGCTTTGTCAGAACAGTAGAGGAGACGTGAGCGGGCCCATCTGTCTCTAGCACTTGTGACCTGATTTCCTTAGCAGACCTGCTCCTGGCAGGCTCCTGGCTCCTCCTGCCAGTGCAGGTTGCCGGTGGCATTTTATAAGTGCAGTTCTTGCGTCACCTCCAATTCTTTCTCAGGTAATACATCTGTTGGCAGAAGAAAGAGGACTTACTAAATGACATTTTAAGAGTGTGGGTAACAACGGTGCTATAAAATTGTACCATCTCTATTCCATTAGGGGGCACCATTTCCTCACTTTTTTTTGCCTGCTGAAGTTGGAAATAGCCCATTTGTTTTTATAGTCATTGTCTTACAAACAGAAATAACTTTATTATATTTACAATAGCAGTGCATAGTCAATATAGAGCAATTAGAAAACACTTAGGCAAAAAAAAGGAAAATTAAAAATTTTTCCTTTTCATAGATTACAACTACTGCTACTGATTTCATAGTTTCCAGCTACTACTATAGATTACAAGTATTTATCCTTCCCGACTTTTTTCTTAGTGGACCTATACACTTAGAAAATATTAATTGATTGATTGACTGATTGATTGAATTATTACATAATGTGGAGGAATGCACAAATCTTAAATGTATAACTTGATGAATTTTCACAAAATGAATTCAATCATGTAACCACCATGCAGAGCAAGAAATGAAACATCTTTTTATCTCCCCCCGAAGAGAACCACCATCTTGGCTTCCAACGTGAGAGAATAGTTTCACTCATTTTTGAACTATATGAATGAAACCCTACAGTATATATACCCTTGTTGTCTAGCTTTTTGTGTGTGCGTGCAACATTATATTAGTAAGATTTATCCATGTAGTTGTATGTGTGTATGCATTCATTTCCATTGCTATATTTGTTGAATGAATTTTTCGTGATTATATATACCAGGGGTCAGGCAAACTCTCTGTAAGGGGCTAGATAGTAGATGTTTTACGATTTGTGGACCAGTCTCTGTTGCAATTACTCAACTTGCCTTTGTAACTCAAAGCCAGCTATAGATAATAGATAAATGAATGGGCACAGCTGTGTTCCAATAAAACTTTACTTACAAAAGATAGACACCAAGCTGGATTTTTACAGTGGTTGCCAACTACTGCTATACTTAAAAAAAAAAAAATTTTTTTTAAGTAAAAGTTGAATCATACTCTATAATTAAATTTTCTGAGATGTCATAAATAGCCATTGTAGCTCATCATTTCCCTGTAAAAGAGGAATTCCAGGAAGTGAAATAATAGCTGGCACTTTTTCTTCTCTATTGTAGTCTCTGGCAAACATAGATGAAGTTGTGAACAAGATTAGACTGAAAATAAGGTAAGTAATACTATATGATTATTAATAATAAAGATATTGTTAATTTTGTTAATCACATTCTAGATCACACTTGTCTGTGAGAACACAAAAATGTCAGGTTTGCTCTAGGTGGTAATTTTTAAAAAAAAATAATTTTTGTCCAGACCAGTATGGCTCAGTTGGTTGCGCATCGTCCCACAAAGTGAAAGGTCACCAGTTCAGTCCCCAGTCAGGGCATGTGCCTGGGTTGCGGGTTCCATCCACAGATGGGGCATGTACAAGAGGCAACCGATGGCTGTTTTTCTCTCTCCCATCAATATTTCTCTCCCTCTCTTTCTCCCTCTCCCCCCCTCCTAAAAATACAATGAATACATAAAATATTGAATAAATAAGTAATTCTTTTAAATCTCTGTGTGTATGTGTGTGTTTTTAAAGATTTTATTTAGTTATTTTTAGACAGGGGAGGAGAAAGAGAAAGAGAGGGAGAGTAACATCAATGTGTGGGTGCCTCCTGCGCGCCATCCACTGGGGTCCTGGCCCGCAGCTCAGGTATGTGCCCTGACTGGGAATCGAACCAGTGACCCTTTGGTTTGCAGGCCAGCATTCAATCCACTGAGCCGCACCACTCAGGGCTAAATCTGGGTTTTTATACAAGGCTGTGGCAAAGAACTTGATTCTTTCATCAGTCTTCAAATATGTATAAAAAGGGAAGGAAGCTATAACAGGCTCTTCAAAACAGTTGATTATAAAAGGTGGCAAAAGCATTTCTACTATAATTTTAATGGCTTTATTTCCCTAGATTTACATTTTTTGAAATTCCCGTGGCTTAGATGTGAATAAGGGCATATACGTATATCCCTTGGCCACATACCACCTACCAGGGAGGTCAGATTTGCTGGTCAGCACGGGTGATGGTGGCTCAGGATTGAACATCTTGATTAACTAACCTAGGATGTCATCGTCTAGGATGGTCATCAAGGGTCCTCCCCGCCCAATAGCCTTGTTTTGGTTTGTTCACATCTGAACTTCTAGTTTTGACACATGGTACTCAGTGTTTGTTTATTCATTGTAATTATTATCATAATGGCTTATGGCATTAAAAATAGATTTCTTTAAAACTTCTGATAAGGAGAAGGCTTTATTTTGAATCCAGGAGATAATTTTTTTTTCCCTTTCAACCTTTGGATTTTTTTGGTACAGACCTCTATTATTAATGTTTTGTTCAATTGGATGCCTTAGGAAGTGCAGAGAAGCCTGTTCATCATTTAGGTGGACGTTTGCTGTAACAATTCCAGTAGAGACCACTAAGTTGTTCACGGTTTGTCCAGATAATGGAAATTCTCTGGTGATCCAGAAATCACTTGTGAGCCACTTACTTTCCACTTTCCCGCCCCCATACCTTCAATGGATTCTTCAAGTGAAAATGGAATTGACTAAAATAAATTTCTTTGATTGAGATGCCATCATTAAATGGCCCCATTGAGCCACAGGAGAAAGAGGAACTGGAGGCTACAGATCTGTCTCCTACGTAGATTGCACAATGGGGGCCCAGAAGGCAAAGCACTGATTTCATATATTACCCTGGCTCCTTATCCCTATTAAGGTTCCAGAGGAAGTTACTGAGGAAGGAATTTATGTGGGGTAATTTGAATTCTCTGGCTTCTTCCCATAAAGTTTCAGCAACTTTTTCATTTCTGGTTTACTCCAGGAAAAATACTAAAAGTTATATGGGTCCTTTTGGACAGCTCTCAATATTAAGTGAAAATAGCCCTTTTTAAAAAACAAAGACGGTGCGTCGGTCTGTGCTGGGCCTGGCTCTTACGCTACTGCCGCTGCTCCTGGTCTGAGGCCTCAGCCTTCCTTACACCATTCAAGCTTGCTTGGTTCTCTGAACGAGTAGGTACAATCTGCAGAAGTTGCTGGATTAGTTACTAACTTTTTTTCTTTTGGTCAATCCAGTATAGAGATTATTTTAATGATTTTATCCTTTAACTTTTTTGCTAGGAGACTGGATGACAACATTCGAACTGTTGTAAGAGGTCAAACAAATGTGGGGCAAGATGGCAGGCAAGTAAGTAACTTATTTTTCCTTATTATACTCCCCTAATTTCTTCAAAACCCAATGATTAAGTGACCAGTGTTGAACTGTCTCCTAATGGAGCACTGTTTTTTTTTTTTTGTCCTCACCTGAGGACATGCTTATTGATTTTATAGGGAGGGAAAAGGAAGGAGAGAAACGCTGATGGGAGAGAGAAACATCAATTGGCTGCCTCTTGTACGTGCCCCGACCTGGGACTGAACCCATAACCTTTTGGTTTGCCTGATGATGCCCAACTCACTGAGCCACACTGGCCAGGGCCAGAATGCCATCTTATTGCTCTGACCCATACACAGCAGGAAACATACATGACTTGTACTGCTAGTAACAGAGGTAGGCCGCCCAGACCAAGACAGGAAGTCACTCAGTGTCCCTTGGGCCAGGGACATATCAGCACAGCTCACCCAGGCTGTAGTGAGCATGCAAGCTGAAGTGAGAAAACCAAAATTTCCTTCTCTTTAGCATGAGTATCAGATGTTTCTTTTGCCCTCCTACATTTTGAGTACTATGCCTAAATGTGGTTGCAACTTTTATCTATCAGCTAAGTTGTTGGGCTTTTGGTATTACTTTTATTGCTGCAAAATATAGCAGCGACCTCTGCATCAAAAGACAGTAACAACAGAAAAAAGGCAACCTACAGAATGAGAAAAACTATATGCAAATCATATATCTGATAAGGGATTAATATCCAAAATATATTGAGAACTCCTAACAACAACAGCAAAAATAACCAAACAGCCCTGGCCGGTGTGGCTCAGTGGACTAAGTGCGGGCCAGCAAACCAAAAGGTCACCAGTTCGATTCCCAGTCAGGGCACACGCCTGGGTTGCAGGCCAGGTCCCTGTTTGGGGTGTGTAAGAAGCAACCAATTGATATATCTCTTACATATTGATGTTTCTCTCCTCTTTCTCTCTCCCTTCCCTGCTCTTTACAAATAAAGTCTTAAAAAACATAAAGAACAAACAGCCCAATTAGCTATGGGCAAAGGACTTGAGACATTTCTCCAAAGAAGATACAAAATTAGTAAGTACGTGAAAAGATGCTCATCATCATTAATTATTAGGGAAATGCAAAGCAAAACTACCGTGAGATACAACCTCACACCCAGTAGGGTGACTACAACCAAAAAAACAGAAAACAAAAATGTTAGTGAAGATATGGAGAAATTGGAACCCTTTGCACTGTTGGTGGAATGTAAAATGTATAGCAGTGTGTAAAACAGTAAGGAGGTGCCTCAAAAAAAATTAAAAAATAGAATTACCATATGATGCAGCAATTCCACTTCTGGGTATATACTGGAAAGAATCGAAAGCAGGGTCTTGAAGAGATACTTGTATATCCATGTTTATAGTAGCATTATTCACAGTAGGTGAAATGTAGAAGCAAAGTATCCATTGATAAATGAGTGTATCGGCAACATATGGTATATGTATACAATGGGATATTATGAAGCCTTAAAAAGGGAAGAAATTCTGACACATGCTATAACAGGGATGAACTTGAAGACGTTATGCTAAATGGAATAAATCCAGTCACAAAAAAATACTATAGAGTTCCACCTATATGAAGTTCTTCTGAAAATCATAAAGACAAAGTATGATAGTTGCCAGGGACTGGCAGAGAATGGAAGGTTATTGTTAATGGGTGTAGAGTTTCAGTTTTACAAGATGAAAAGATGGATGGATGGTAGTGATGGTTGAACAAGGATGTGAATGTATTTAATACTTCAATTAAAGGTGGTAAAGGTGATAAGTTTTATGTGTATTTTAACATATTTTTAAAAATCAACAATGAAATAACATTCATATATTGCAAAAAAAAAAATAATGTGACATAGCTACAGTACTTCATACCTAGTTTTCTTGGCAAACAGGTAACTGTAGATTCATTTTAGAGTTTTACATTTCCTTTGGATCTAGCTAAGGAGGGCTATTGGAAGGGAATGAGGGGAAAAGTATTTGGGGAGGAGGCATTCTTTAATGATTCAGGGGCCAGATGTTATCTATTAACTATTTTCCTTTTCATTTGGATTTTATTTTTCTGTTTAGGCATCATATTCCAGAAATTGCCATTTAACAGAAATGCTGAGCATGTCTTTTCCAGTCTTCCTCTCATACAATGTCTGGTTCACCCGTTTCAATACTAATTCAGTTAGTCCGGGTGTGCACCTTTATAGTAGCTTCAGTTCTGTTATTTGTCCTGTTTGATATTCTTTAGTACAGCTGATTTCTTTTTTAAAAATTTGAATTGAATTTATTGGGATGACATTGGTTAATAAAATTATATAGGTTTCAAGTGTACAATTGTGTAATTCATCGTCTGTATATTGTAGTGCGTGTTCACCACCAAAAGTCCAGTCTCCTTCCATCACTGGGTCCCCTCCCTTCACCTGTTCACCCAGCGCCCGAAGCCCGCCCCCCGCTGACAGCTGTCAGTCGGTGCAGCTGATTTCTTAAAATGTTAATTATGCTACCCAGGTTTTTGGAAGGGGGTTGGGGGTATAATCCTGTGTAGAAATTTTCTCATCTTATATTTTTGTTTCCGCTGCTGGTAGCTCACAGGTGTTGAGTCTCTTTCTTTTGTATTTTCAGTTTTATCCATTCCTCTATTTTTCCCACATTTTATGACTGACTTTCTTTTCCTCTTAATCATCTTCCATTGGTCTATTTGTAAGTCGTCCACCTTCTTCCTTGTTGTCACAATCAGTATTTGTGTATAGACATACTAGATCCCTAAAACTGGTCCCTATTTCCTAATCTTTGCCTAACTTTTAGTCCTTGTTGCTTTATCTAATGAAGCTTTGCTTCTCTGGCAGGTGAGACTCATGTAAATGAGATTTTTAGAGCTAATAAACAGTAAGAGGCCCTGGCTGGTGGGGCTCAGTGGATTGAATGCTGGCCTGTGAACCAAAAGGTCACCGGTTCGATTCCTAGTCAGGGCACATGCCTGGGTTGTGGGCCAGGTCCCCAGCTGGGGGTGTTGTGAGAGGCAACCAACGGATCATTTCTCGCACTTCAACGTTTCTCTCCTTCTTTCTCTCTCCCTTCCCCACTCTCTAAAAATAAATAAATAAAATCTTTAAAAAAAAAAAAAAGAGTAAGAGAGAGACTGTAGCCTCATTCTGTTCTTTAACTTTCCTACTGTATATCTGGTGGGCATGTTGTCCACCTCTTCGGAACCCTCGGTGGCATTCAGGGCCTCAGTCTGCCTTTCCAGTTCTGTCCCCTGTGCTTTATCCATACTGAAGACTTAGCGCTCGGTGAGCCTGCCCTGTGCTTTCTCGGCCTATGATCATGTTCTTCCTTTTGCCTAAGATGCTTCCCTCCTCTTTTTCTTCCAGTAGCTTCATTTCAAAACCTTACCCATGTAAGGCCCAGCTCAAATTACTTCTTTCATGAACTTTTCTGTTCAGCATAGCTAGATAAACCAAAGGAATCAGAATTTCAGAACTAGAAGGGACCTGGAACTCATCTGGTCCACTCCTCTCATTTTGCAGATGAGAACATTGACCCAAGTATCCCTGCATGAATTAGCTGTATTCCTTTCTGCCTGCGGAGTCCCACAGCCCCAAGCTTTCCATTAGGCTTTCCTGGCCTCCTCTGACTTACCTACTCGTGAACACGTCTGTCCCCTTGACTAGTTTGTAAGCTTCGTGAGGCAAGAACTGCATCTTCCTCATCTTCAGTTTCTCAGAACACACAGTCCTTGCGTTAATAACACACTATTCAACTGTATAGAATACTTGATCTGTGTGAGATTGTTAACTGTAAATAAACAAAAGCTCTTTACCATGAAGACATCATTTTGATTAGTGCATATGTTCCTTTAAAGTTGTTTAGAACTTGATTTGTGTATAACTAGTCCCAGCATACTACAATTTGAAATATCGATAACACTACTGTTTACTGCGATTTAGCTTGTATTTAGAATGGCTCACCAGAAACCTTAAAACACATAAAAGTCTCAGGTATTTAAAATTCCACGAGTGTGAAAGTAAACTAAATGAGCCACCAAGACTTTTTTGTTAGGTCATGCTGTGTAACTATGCATCTCTTAGCCGGTTGTGTTTTAACCTGCGGTGGCAACCGAGCGGCGTTGGAGAGCCGGGCCGGCAGCAGACAGACTGCAGGGGTGCCGGCTGTCCCGCCTCACGTGTTAATAGGTTACAGGTTGCCGCAGAGCAGCGCGGGTCACATTTCAGAGAGCAAGACCAATTTTCAAGAATGTTTAGATAGCATTTCAATCTGTGATGGAATTTTGTATTCGTCTCCTTAGAATCCAGACGAAAAGGAAGCCCAGAAGAAATAATTGCTTTTCCTGTCATCCTCTCCATCTGTCGTCCAACAGTTTGTAATGCAAGCTAAAGTGGAGGCTTCCCCCCACCCCCGCCCCCGGGAGCCCTTGAGTCCTAGCCTTGTCACCTCCTAAGGGTGAAAGCCTGGCTGACCAGCCGTGGCTGGCCAGCCGTTTGCTGAAGGGAGACTGTTATTTGACTGGCACGGACCGGGGAGAGTTATGGATGTTCCAAAATACTGAGTTTTATAGGTCAAGAGGCCCCAGGTTTTTCTCTTTGCTGGGGCAGAGGAAAAGGTTGCTTTCAGAACTTGTTTCCTAAGCTTCTGAGGAACACTCGGGAGGAGAACAGTAATATGGACAAAAGGAAGTTTTCCTTTTATAAATTTCATCTTGTTTGTGTTCTGCCAGAACAGATATGCTTTTATCTGTGTAAATAAGGGAAAGTATTCACTTCACATTTATGGTGTCTTAAAAGACATTTTTAGCAGAAACACTCTTTTTGAAAAGCTGTATTTCTTACTCAAAAATTATTTGTGGGAAAGGAGTAATTTAGCAATTGAAGACACAATGAGGCAGTTTCTTTAGTTTCTTGATATTTCTGAAGTACCAGCTGCCTGATTAGCCCTCTGCTACACATTTTGGAGAGCCTTTGATTGCTGACCGCCTCCTACGTGGGT